ATAAGGTCTATGCTAACAGATTTTTTTTTGTTTCGCAATTCTCAATTGTGGAACTCTCTCCCGGCTGCATGCTTTCCAGTCGACTTTGATCCACAGAAACTTAAGTCCAATATCAATCGTTATCTAATGTTTTCTTGGTTATTGTTCTATTATTCTTACTTCTTAATAATGTTTGTCTTTTTTCTTATTTTTTCTGACATTCTTTGAGTCTTAGCATCTTTACTGGCTTTCATGACGCCTTATTCCCCAATCTGGATTTGTACTCTTTCGGAAAGAAAACAACAACAAGCAACTTTTTTTTTATAAGGGACAACATTTGGGTAGAGCGTAAGATATTAATAGTGATTTTCCAAGCGTAGATCAGATGCGGCACAAGGCCGAAAGTATGGAGCACCCAGTGTGTATCGAACTCACTACTCAGTCGTAATTGTTCTAGCGAGACAAGCTTGCTAACCATTACACCACCTCGAGGTGCCCCCGTAAGATATTAATAGTAATGATAATCATAAATTTGCCTGTCTTTATATCGGAAACATGCAGCTTTCATTGACTGAATAATTAGTGTAACTGTCGGTCAAATGTTAGAAAATATTTATTATAAGAAATGTGTTTCAGGAAATTAGACTTCTCAACACCACTAAATATCTTAACTCTTAATAATATTAATGGGAGTTTCCTTCCTTTGCCTAGTGTAGAATGATAGCAGTTTGATGATATCAGTTTTTTTCATATAATGTCATGTGGTATTTATATGTGTTGAAGCTGCTTTTGGAAGAATTCAACGTGCGAATTTTATTATCTTTCAAAGATCCTCCTCTGTGATGCTACATCGCTAATCTTTAGGTTTGAATTAAAAATAATCTTTTTTAAGATTGATAGGATTCATTTGTCGAATTCTATTTTTAAACATAACTCTGATAAAAAAAAGGTGTGGACAATTACTGAATGAGCTAAACAGTATGCTTCACATTCATATGAATCAGCTTTTAAATAATGTACAACTTCCCAAGGTCCACTCATAGTAAAGGGTTACAGAGTAGGATGTAAGAGGCACATATTATGCGGAGATTTGAACAAAATAACAGAGAACCCTAGAATGGACCAGGTTAAGAGTGTAGACATCGATGGGACATTTTCTTGGGAGTAGGTTAAACCAAGTAACGGTTCGGTGGGAGAATCTGTTCGAGTGGAACTTGTATCTCACTAATGGACTGCTTGGAAATGAGGTTTGATATCTATAATGAGCTTGAAGACGCACAGATTTTGAAGAGATATGAATAAAATAACAGTGAACCCTAGAATGAATCTGGTTATGGCTTAGACATCGGTGAAGCATTATCTTGGGAGTAGGTTAAACAATGTTACGGTTCGGTGGAAGAATCTGTTCGAGTGGAACTTATATCTCACTAATAGACTGCTCGGGGATGAGGTTGGATATCTATAATGCGCTTGTTATGACGGATCATAGCTATGAAGATTACAAATGCGGGAACAAAGGAATGCAGTTCGTCTGAACATAATCCATGTGTATAGTGATATAGAAGCGTTTGGCTTGCAAATTATCCTCTGTGGGACAGAGTTTTTAGGATTAATAGCTGACGAGGCTATTTACAAACATGAATCGAATCCTCACGTCAATATTTGTTTTTCTTTTTTTTTTTTATTTGAAGCATATTAGGGAACTATACGTTTCAGTTAGTGTCGTCACACTTATTCTCACTTTCCTTATTGCTAATACCGAAGAATTTAATATGTTCACAATGTACTACTTCTGGTATACTTAACGCGGAGAGAATGCCTCTTAACTTAGAAACTTACAGGTCATATTCAAGTCAAAAGTAACAGAGAAAAACCCCGGAAAAATCTACGTAATGAGTTTGTGAAATGCAAAAAGAAAGGGAGATATAAGAACACGACAAACATTAATAACAGAACTACGGGACAATAGCCTACTAGATGAAAGTGTTGGTTCGTGAATTTAGTGATATAGTGGTTGTAAGTTCAATCCCCTGGTCGGGCAGTATTTACTTTAGACTCAGTGAAAACCGAACAGTACTACAAATAAAAAGTAGACTTTATCCACAGACGTGCAAGAACTGTATAACCCCGTAGATTAAATAAAGCTCCAGTTCAGATTTCCTTGTAGGTTACCCGGGTCGATACATAACTGAGTAAGGCCTGTGGGCACAACGGCCGAAACGCCGATAACAACAAAAAATACGTAGACAAAAGTCCGAATATAAATAGTGCAATATTACCAAGATTATTAAGATCGCCTACGTCCTGAAGTATTTTATCAGCGGTCCTTAAGCACCGGGCTGGAACCGGTCCGTGGATCATTAGCTACCTGGCCGCAAAGATCATTTGCTACCTGGCCGCAAAGATCATTTGCTACCTGGCCGCAAAGATCATTTGCTAATGGGCCGCAAAGATCATTTGCTACCGGGCCGCAAAGAACATTTGTTACCGGGCCGCAAAAAATTAACTTGTTTAAAATTAAATAATAGATAAATTGAATAACTAACTTTAATTTAAAATGATTTGTTTTAAATATTCAAGATATTTCTACTCATTCCTATCTATCAAAACTGTAAGTAGATTTTATAATTAATGTATATTTTTATTTATTTATACTAATTTTCAACTAATTTTCTAATTACCACTAATTTTCAGATTCTACGCTAATTCTACATTAGGGTGAATTAATGCTGACGTGATAATTGTGTAGTAGGGATTGATTCATGGAAACTAAACACACACATATGTAGTTGGCCTGGACCCCAGACATGAGTCAAAACATTAAACAGTTTTCTTCCTTTTTAATAAATTGCTTTTTTTTAATTTTTTTTATTATTGCCTTCTTTATCGAAATGCACTTAAATTAGACATATGCACCCTAAAGGTCCGCGAATAGATTGTCCGGCATGAAGGCAGACCGTGGTATCACAAAGGATGAAGACCACTGTAATATAAGACAATGATGATTAAAGTGACTAATTATGAAACCGCGTGGAGAAAAATAGGGGGAATGGAATAGGCAGTCAATGATGAAATAAAAGTGAGAGAACACAGGGCTATTATTGAAATATGAAACAGTTGCGAAGAATAGAAGGAATGTCTCACGAATTTTAAGCTGAATTTCTTATTTTCAAAAACAAGCATATACAGGGTGATAGGAATATAACTCACTATTTTATGTATGGGCGGCCAGCCAAGACTCCTGACTTAACATCCTGTGACTTTTGTCTTTGAGGTCAAGGACCAAGTCTAATATAGCAAACCAAGACGTTGGAGGAATTTGAAGGGCGAAGATTTTTTTGAGAAATCAGTTGACTCGTTTCCCAGGCGGCTCGAGAAGCGCGTAGCGTAATATAGCGCACATATTGAATTTTAAATAAAGCCTCATGCTAAACGCTTTCCTCTTAAATCAATTTCTTGTGAAAAGTATAATTAACAAATCAATTATAAGTATTTTCTCGAATGTGAAATTAGGCTCATTCCAGTTGTCCTTTGATGGTCTCTCTATGGTTATTTTTACTCAAGAAAGATGCATCATTATCTCAAACGGAAATCATGTCAGATTAAAATCTACGTAAACACTATATTTCAGAGTAACATTACAGCGAGTAACAGAGACGAAGTTGTTTCTACTTTCAACTTCTGCTGGTTCACCTTGACACATCGGAGCTATTATCGAAGGATTAATAAATCTTAGCTTTAACATCGTCAAAAGAAAACGTAATAAGCCAGAAATATTCGGAGCCAAAAGGAAAAAAAGGACAGGCAATCACTAAAGCAATATATAACCAAGATATCACAAAAGAGTTGATTGTTCAAATCCGAAACTTGAGAATTAATAACCAAAATGTCATAAATCAAAATCAAGGCTAAATCCAGAAGTCTGAAAGTCCAGCGTATGACGATGAACTGCATCCGGCAGCAAGGCCTATGATTGGCAGGTTTTGAAGAGCTATTTTTCCCAGGTCCATCCTGACCCGGGGTGGTAGAACCTGTTAGGGTCCAAGCTATGTGCAAAGAGCTAATCGGCAAAATTGGGTCGAAATTCTATGAAAGTATAAAAATAGATTCTTATAGTAAAAATACTAGCAATGCACATTTGAAAAAAAAATATTACCAGAAATAGATTTGATACTCGACAAAAACCCTCTGTATAAAAATGTGTCAATGACACCTGATCTACAAACAAATAATACATATCCCATTCATAGGAACCTATCCTAAAAATCCTGTAGTCATTAAATAACCCACTAGAGCTTATAAGTCTTAAAACCCGATACACCAAATAAACAGAAATCTGAAGATGGCAAGTAACATGGAATGAAACGCTGTCGGAGAATCTCAGAAAGGCTTTGTTCGTTTTGCTTCTGTTTATTGATAAGTGATGGTTAGAGGTATGATTGTATGCAAATCCCATTGTTTTATAACCAGTGTATGCATATGGATGTGTAAGTTTTTTGTTTTTAAAAAATCACTTTTTTGTAATTACTAATGTCTGTGTTGAAGAAGGAGAGGCAGGCTACGTAAGAGTCTGTGTGAGATTGTGATTTCAATGCGACGCATTAAGTTCACCATATTACGTAGCGACAGAGCTGTGTGCATAAACACCCTTGATAATTTACGCGCTGCAAAAAGGCAGCTCGAGGTAGAGATCCGTAAACGTTGCTTGATTACACTGGCAAGAGCAATTAAACTCCTTAATAATCGCAACAGTGGTTCCACGTCACCGAAGCCCACCTCACATCTTTAACTCTTACTTGGATTGCACAGTTAGGAGAAGCAGACGATAGAAGACGAAAAGAAACAATAGAAATAACACGACTGTGATAAAATGAAAATAAAATACATGTTTTTGAAGTAATGGATAATTTTTGCTTCCATTCATTTCTTTTATGGCGTGCGTGTGTAACAGTATTCACTCAGTTTATTTCTATTTTTCGTATCTTTCATTGACTTCCAATTCCCTCAGTATCTTTTTTTAGCTTATTTTGTCTTCCCTTTCAAAGCTTTCTCTGCTTTTCTTCTTCCTTTTATAAATGAGTCTCGTTTTCATACGTGATTCTAGATCTTTTCTATCTTTTTTAACAGCATTTTCAATTCTCATTACAGACAGATAGTTCAATTCTTTTTTTTTTTTCTTACAGTTATTTTTCACGTTCAACTCGCAATTTTCATCAAGTGTATTATTCCTTTCTCTCCAGTTTTGAGTAACACCCATACGTTTTCCCTTCTTATTTCGACACTCTTTTACAATCAGTGAAGTTTTTCCTTTTTATCTCCAGAGTGTTTTTTGGTTCAATAACAAATTCTATTTTATTCCCCCTTTTTTAAACATTGTCGCCTTTTCCAATTCTTCAACTTCTTATATTTCAATACCAAAATCTATGTATTTTCCTGAAACATGTCTCTTTCTATTTTTATATTACAGTTTTTCACCGTCTATTCCTCTCTTTGTGTTTCAATACCAATTCTATATTATTGCCTTTCTTTAGAAAAAAAAAAGCTGCTACTAAATCCTTCATAGATTTCAGGCCTTGTCCTCGATTCTTAGCTGTTTCATATTTCAATAATAAATTCTGTGTCCTTCCCTCTCTTATGACAAAATCACACGATTTTTTCCCATTCACTCCCTATCCCATTTTCATTCTATTTTTCTCCATGTGGTTTTATATTTCAATACGAACATCCGTGGCTTTCCGTTATTTTTAAACACTGTCTCTTTTTCATGAATCCCAGTTATTCTTACTCTATTTTTCTCGACTGTTTCATTTTTCAATACCAAATTTTCTGTTCATTCCTTGCTCGTTTATTTTTTTTAAACACAGTTGCTTTTCCATCATGGAATCCCACGTCTATTCTGATTTTCTCACGTTGTTTCATATTTTAATACCGACTTCTATGTTCTTCTATGTCTTATTTAAAAAATAAAAAAAAGAAAACACTGTATTTTTTTATGATCGCATCGCAGGGCGTTTTTCACTCTTCACTACACGATTTCATATTTTGTTATTAACTCACGTGACCTTTTCTTATTGTTTTTTTTTTTTTACTTTTCCATTTGTTTCCGTCTTTGTTGTTTAAATACTGCTTTCTCCTCCTTATTAAAAATTATTTATTTCTTTTCATTCTTTTTTTTTTCTCTTTACAACGTAGTTATTTTCTTTCGTGACTTTCGTTAAATTTGAAATCCTTTCCTCTTTACTTTTCTCGTCTGCGTCTTTTTTATTTTTTTTCTTCACCGGTGATTCACACGATAATTTCCATTTTTGGACACTGTTTAACTTTCTCCCTTCATTTTGACTTTCCGTGTCCATTACTCTTTTCAAAGGCACTTTCATTTTTTTTTTCAAAGTGACCTCTCGTGTCGTTCCCTCGTTTAAATACTATTTCATGTTTCAGCATCCCTCTTTCAGTTTCCCTCTTTCCGCTTTCTTTATTTTCTCTTCGTCTTTCTCGTTGCAACTATTTTCCCTCCTACTTTCTTTCTTTCCTTTCAAGCTGATGCTTTCCAAAATACCATATTCCGTTTATGCGTTTCCCACTTCTAATTCGTTATCATTTTTTTCTTTTTTTCTTTCTTTATTAAAGTACAACACTGAGCCTTTCTTACAGAACATAGTTTTCTCACCTTTTCAATTTCCATTTCTACACAGATTTCAGCCGATCTATTCTCGATCAGAAATATTTCCCTCCCTCGTAGCATTTATAAAGTCTTTCTTTCTACCGCCATCTTCTTTTACATGTCTCAGCGTCTTTTCTCTTTTTTTGTTTATTTAATTCAACTTGTTCCCGCTTCCTCTCTTTCTCCATTCTCTACCTGTTTCCCCAAGTGTATTAATGCTGTTTATTTTCCGTTGAAATCAATAAACCATCTTGTACAACAGTCGGCTCCAAACTCTAACAACCTGATGGAGAGAATGGGTTCAGGCAAGATGTGGGGGCGGAAAAATCCTTCTCTTTGCCCCATATATTTTCACTTGTCCGTTTTCACGACACTCAATCCATTTATATAACACAGACAAGTAAGGTTATCCGGTGTTGTCAGTCTTCCTCAATTATTTCTATGATCATTTCATGTAACTTACATTCGCTGGCTAATTTTACCTCGTCAGATTCGGGTTTAATATGCCAACTCAAGCAATCAACGGAGATTATATTTAATAATTCCTTTTAACCTGCTTTTTGTTGGTAGGAAATATATTTAAATCTGTATAGATCTGAGACACTTTCATTCATTAGGCTGAGTATTTTGGGAAGGTCTCCTTGTTTAATCCTGGGAATAGTATTAATGAATGTCTGCCCCTTGTAAGCAAGCGTAGAAACTAATGGAAACTTCTAATGCTAATTAAGGAAAGAATATGTGATGTAGATATCCAATTATTATCAGTGTATCATTTCAAGAGAGTTCGTTTCTTTATCGTCTTACACCTTATTGTTAATATAGCCTTGCTAATCTGAGATAAACACTCCAGATACTTTATCCGGCTTAGAGACATATACAGGGTGAGTAAAAAATACCCCCCATTTTTAAAAATATTTATAATTTATTTATTAACTATAATTTTAAAAGAAATGGGTATAGGTGAAAAGCGATCAGCATTAAAATATTTAATGGGTGACAGATTACGCTACCAGATTCTCAATCCGCCAAAGGATCGGGTCAACTGATTTCACCAAAAACGTTTGTGGTATGGAAGACATAACCTCTAGTATTCTCCCTTCAAGTTCTTCCAAAGTGTTTTTGGTATAGTGGAATTGCTCCTATGACCAACCCTAAAGAAAAAAAGTCACAGGGTCTCCCGGCTGGCCACTCATACACAAAATAGTGAATTATTTTATATCGTACGTTTTTGCTGCTTCTAACAGATTCAACACTTTGATTGCCGCAAACAATAGTCGCGATCGACAGCTGCATATATGTGTGCGAAATATCCACTAAGCCGGTCTTTATTTGCACAACATCGATTGCAGTGAGTTGATGATTAAGTCGTGAAACATGCAACTCAACACACAGAAGGACCAGACTCCTTGTTAACTCGAGATGGATGAATGCAAAAATTCAATCTTTTAGATAACACCAATTTCTCAGTGCCAGTGAGAGAAGCAATAGACAAATTTACACGCACCAAACACGGAAAAAATATCTTTGCGATATAAGAGTATTTAAATATTTTTGCTATTTTCAAAATTCTCGCCTCTCCGCATATACTCTTCGAGACGAAAGATGGCGGAGAAACGCAAATAGTTCAAGAAGGATAATGGGTTAATAAGAACACTTCGTATTGAACTATAGTGAATGGATAAGCGAATCAATTTGCTGGTCAATTTGAATATCGCATGCAATTATGACCCCATCTATTTATAGTGGCAATGCTATCATATACCTGCGATAAAAGCACTGTATCTTACTTATTATAAAACGCAGATTGTGTGTGTGTGTGTGTGTGTGTGTGTGTGTGTGTGTGTGTGTGTGTCTGTCTGTACGTTTATATATTGGATCGGATTTCGTACATTTTCCAACCGATTTCAACAAAACTTCACAGGACTACGTAAAATTACCTTGCGGTCGTTCTGACAGCGCCAAAAATTGGAAAAACACAATTGTTTTAGCATGAAATCAATTTGAAAACACAATAAAACACGATTCTGTCGCCAGAATGAAATGGTGACAACTCATATCGAGTTATACTTATTATAAAACCCAGGTTGTTTGTGTGTGTTTGTGTTCGTTTATATATGGGATCGGATTTCCTATATTTTTCGACCGATTTCAACAAAACTTCACTTTTTTTTGGCAGGTAGTCTTTTTTATTGTCTTGCACACTTTTTTCTTTATTTTTTACAATCAGAATGCTTTAAAAATTCCATTTACAAGACAATTGTTTATAATAAAATTCTATTCAATCGGTAGACTCATAACGATTGAAAACAATGTTTTTATTTGAGTTTGGGTTTGACCAATTCGTAAAAAAAAAAAAAAACCCAAAAACAAAGTAATTAAGACATGCGTGTCCGTCCGTCAACCTTAAACAATAATCTTTGTCAATTTTATTTTTCAGTCTTTATGATGGTCGATACTTGATCTATCTCTTACTGTTACATCCCCGGGCTCTCCTGCTAGTCTAGAATAAATCGCTTTATTGGTACAGGTTTTAGATGAAAATTTGGTGAAATTATATTAAAACGTGGTATTTTTTGCAAAGACATACCAATAGTGAAACTTCTTCTATGTGCCATGACCATTCAGGACGTTGGTAATCATGGGACTCTAGATTTTCCTGTCTTTCGTTATCCTTATTAGATATTGCCTTGTTTTATCTCTTCTAAACTTTTTCCGCCATGCATTTAGTCAAGAATGCTAGGTGTGTTATGTACAGTTTTTCACTGTCCCTGTTGCCTTCAAACTATCCTGTGAATATCAATTTTCCGAGTCCTTTTTCCTCATTATGTGCTCTAGAAATGTCGACCCTCATCCTGATGTTAAGTACAAGAGTCTTTTCTGTTTCCATTTATTTTAAGATCCCGTTTTTTACCTTTATATCCATTACTTGGTATTCTCAACATACTTCTGTAGAATCATATTTCTGTAGCTTCCAGTGTCTATTTCATCGATATTGCAACTGTTGCACTTGTCTTCATTATCTGATTGTTGTATTTCAAATTTTGAAGTTGTATCTTGGAGTCTTCTTTTTGTAACAACCTTGCATTCTCACTTCTTGCAATCGGTGTTTAGTCTCCACGATTTTCTTTATTTAATTTTATAATGAGAAATCTATCTATCTACTAAATATATATATATTGTCATGGATCATTACCTATAACTACAGAATGAAATCTTCCTAACATTATGTATAGTACGCCTCTCAAAAGAGAGGGTCGAATCAAGCCGAGCTTCTCGACTTGACGGTCGAACTCTCTGCTTTTGAGCAGAAAGGAACCCGGACGAGGTTCCGCCTAAGGGCAGAATCTCGTTCGGGGAGAAATGACCAACCCGATCTCGTTTATACGGGTTTTACGGGCATTTTTTGGCCGAACCTACGGGCTCGGAAAACCCACGATAAACTCGGCCTTGTGCCACATGCAACCCTCGTGGGGGGGTGGCTAGATACCGAATCAAGCCGAGTTTCTCGACTTGACGGTCGAACTCTCTGCTTCTGAGCAGAAAAGAAACCCGGACGAGGCTCCGCCGAAGGCCAGTCTTGTTCTGGGAGGTTGACCAACCCGATCCCGTTTATACGGGTTCTAAGGGCATATTTTGTCCGAGCCTACGGGCTCGGGAAACCCAAGTTAAACTCGGCCTTGTGCCACATGCAACCCTCGTGGGGGGTGGCTAGATACCGAATCGAGTCGAGCTTATCGGCTTGACAGTCGAACTCTCTCCCTCTAAGCGGAGAGGTACCCGAACGAGGCTCCGCCGAAAGGCAGAGTCTCGTTCGGGGATGTTGACCAAACCGATTCTGTTTTTACAGTTTCTACGGGCATTTTTGGGGGGCTGAGTCTACGAGCTCGGAAAATCCACGTAAAACTCGGCCTTTTGCCACATGCAACTCTCGTGGGCGGGGATGTAAATATCGAATCGAGTCGAGCCGATAGTAGTTCACTCTAAACCAGACTGACAGTCATACTAACACCTTCCACGTCTTGTATTGTTATTTCGTGTAATATACCTTCGTTATCTCTACTCTTGTGTTCGTGTTGTTTATCCTTGGTCCTAACGTGCACCATAACACACACACACACACACACACACACACACACACACACACACACACATATATATATATATATATATATATATATATATATATATATATATATAAATTTACGATTCTCAAGGGGTTAAAGAAGAAGAAGAAGTTCAAACACAGAATTCAGGCACCGGTTGGAAATACAACGCTAATCTGACCATCAAAAGGTTCAAGGTAGTTACTTAATAACTTCAGATAATCCTATCACAAGGCCAAACAGATGTAAGATTATTTTACCTCGGACTTTTGTAAAGAGACGGATTTCATGTCTATCTTGGGAATATGAATGTTAAGCTTTTGTTTTTAAAATGCCACAACAAGCAGCGAACTGAAATACAAAACTATCTAATCAAGGTTTTAAACGGCATCTCCTATTAAAACATAGATGACCATACTCTTCCATATCATCATTTGTTTCTTCAATAATTGCGAAGAGATACGAGTTCTAGTAAAAGATTGTGGAGTACTTTGCAATTGTACCAACACGATTTCGAATTCCGAGAATTTCTGCTCCAAGTTTGGCTACGAGCCAAATCATAGAAAGCAATAAATCTTGTTATTTAGCCAATTCCTGAGAAGAAAGGGGTTCAGGTATGTAGGCCTTACCCACAAGTGATAATGGGAGGTAATCGTGAAAAAACACGATCAGAATTTTGAACTCGCTTCGCTTATTCTAGAATTTTTGTAATATAAGATACGCTTATCGATGTAAAGGCAGAAATTAAAACTTAATTACATTAGATTATTCATGTAATTTGTGCGAATACGCAGAAGATATATATATATATATATATATATATATATATATATATATATATATATATGTTATGCATTTCGCCACAAGCGAGGCTAGAGTACCACTAGCACATCTTACAGATATCTAGAGCCACAGTTCGATTTTCGCCGTTATTAATTATTTTAATTTTCTCCACTTTATGAATTTTCTTCAGAGCAAATAATTGATAAAAAATGAAATCCCGAATTGCCTATTATGAGGAATAATCTATTTCGGCAGATGAATATATCGGTCCTCAGTCTTATCAGCCCCGGTTTGAACTGCTAAGGCAGGCGGCATATATCTTCGTCTGACGCAATAGCTATTCCCCATATGAGGTGATTTGGGATTTTATTGTTTTTATTATATTATATATATATATATATATATATATATATATATATATATATATATAGAGAGAGAGAGAGAGAGAGAGAGAGAGAGTTAGTTAGGTAGATAGATAGTTCGTTTCTGACACTCTTCGTCGTCTTTTGAAATTTATCAAGGAAAATGTAAGTAGGTTATTTTAAGCCAAGTATTTATAGTGAAAAGAAAAAAAAATTTCAACAGACTTTCAAATATTTTATATTTAAGAACATACATAAATATTATTCAGCCTTACTCTGAAAAAATTAAAAATAATATACAACCGTTAACAATAATTGTTACGCAGATGACAATGACAGTTTGATAGCAAACACGGAAAAAAATTACAAAATCACCTACAAAAGATAGCAACGGAAAGTGTGAAGGTGGGTCTAAGCATAAACTCCAAGAAGACAGAATGCATGGTCATCAGAAAAAGGATGAGCCCGTAATTCGATTTGTAGGTTGAGAATACTAGAATCAAGCTGACGCGGAAGTTTAAATATCTGGGAATCGTTTTGACACATGAAGGTAAGTGTCACACTGAGACCCGTAGACGTACTGGGATGGCCAAGGACGTATTCCAAAAGCTGGAGAGAGTATTGTGAGACAGGATTTCTTTGGTAACAAAGAAAAGAATGCTAAGCTGTTACGCGACATCTGTCCTTCTTTACGGCCGCGAATGTTGTCCGATTTCCTCAAAGGTGAAGAGACTGGAGGCGACAGAGATTTGGTCCTACAGAAGGATATCATGGACCTAGCGTGAGAGCAACGGTGATCTCTTAGAGTGGTTGAAAACTTGGAGGAGCCTTATACTTAACCTCGGTAAGTGGCTGCTGAATTTTCAGTGACATATAATGAGGAAGGAGGGTGTGGAGAATATGATACTCATGGGTCGAATAAAGGGTTAGAGAGACAAGGGAAAAAAACGCGTGACATGCCTGGCAGCTTTAAGCAAATGGATAACAGAACGTGGTCTTGGAGAGAAAGCAGAGGAAAGGAACTTGTTGAGAGATGCAAAAGATAGAGGGAGGTGGAGAGCCATGATCGTCTACGTCCATAAAAAGAAAAAAAATGACCTGCCCTAATAAAATACATCAGAAGATGAAACGTGTCGTTAAAGAAAAGATTTTCTATCGTCTTTATTCATATTATCTTCATCAAAGTTATATTTTCATTTTTATCGGGAGTTAACACACATGCACATAATCTCTCTCTCTCTCTTTCGCTCTCTCACACGCACACACACACAGACATACACATACATGATTGCACGAAATATTCAGGTCATATGAAACAGACTAATATCATATAAGTATATTTTGTCATATATATATATATATATATATATATATATATATAATATTCATTTCCTTTTTGCCTTGAAATGTTCACATTGGACCAAATAATACAGTTTTCCTATTGTCATTTACATTTATAAATATTTACTTTTTCTACAGATAAGCTCTAAGAATTTTTTCCTAGATTATGGAACAAATATAGGTAAGGTATATATATATATATATATATATATATATATATATATATATATATATATATATATATATTTATACTAGGCTTTCTTAATACAAATAATACAGTATCAATAGAGAAATATGATGATGATTCTGTCACGAAGAGTTAGATTACGTTAGTTGTTTGTATCAGGGTAGTTTTATGGATTTATCTTAAAATTAACAAATTTATTAGATTCCCTTTAGTAATTAATAAAGAAGTCCATTTAAATAATAAAATATAGCATATAGAAATAAGATGCTGCTTCAGCTATCACTAAGAATAAATTATATATTTTTCTAAACACAGCCTCATAAAAATAATGCTCTCATATACAACTAGACGATATTAGGTAACGAAAAAGTCCTTGTTGGTTTTTACCTCGTATTGGAGGAAGCAACCACTGATCACGCAAATGAGTTCCCCACGTACCGGGAACGTATTGGGGTGGGGGATATTGCTCTTGACCAATGCAGTTGCGTTGTGCTCACGCACCAGCCATAGCCCAAACAACGATGAGGAAAATGCCGGTGTCGAAGTAGTTTATTTGGGGTGGTCTGCTTTATGATTTTATGGTAGGCTTTTCCTCAGCTGCATCAAGTCGCCGAATATTTCAAACCTTTGGGGACAGTGCTTTGAGTGAACTCACCCAATAGGCATTAGTTCCAGAATCTCACGGCAGGAAATCTGTCCCTACATGATGGACACTTCAATGGAGGATTAGGCCCTCATGGCGACCACAGACGTAGACAGTACCAAAACCTTCGGTGGAATTGCATCCAGATCTCTGGTGAAATAGTCAGATTTCACTTACACCACATAAAGAAGGCGTACAAGTTGAGTAAATGAGCATGCCAGTCACTGTTGGAAGCCAACAAGCAAAAACAGCCTGTTTCACATTGCTTTCTCGGTACCACAACCTACCTATAATTGATTCAGTGTCTAACAGTGACGAAAAGTGGGTTCTCTACGACAGTCCCAAGCGTGTCATACATTGGTTGTCACCACAGGAACCTGTTCCTCACGACACAAATCTACCTGTGCAAAGACAAATTTAATGCTCTCTGTGTAGTGGACTAGTTGACAATGTTGCAGTTTTTTGTGTATAAGTCATGCAACTAGTGAGCCAGTCAAAATGACTTGACTCACTTTATAGTCCACCAATAGAAGGTTAACCAATCAGAAGACGTAGAATATTCAATCCGTTGTGTATAAAGGCGGCCATTTTGTCTACTCTACCCGAATGTCTAGTCCAGCTTGTCAGGCGAAGAGATAACAGAAGGACGAACTACGCTCTGCTACTTTTACCAAAATATCCACTACTAACCTGAACAACGCTTTCCTACTGTCTTCGAAATATTCACTGCTAACCTCTGGATTCTATACTCAAAGACGACCGTCATCATGAATAACAGACAAGTGGTGCTAGCAACTAGCCAAACCATCACTGCAGACCTGTTCTCGTTTTATTTGAAGCTTGTGTAACAGGTGTTGATCCAAAAAGAGTCAGTATTCGTTAATCGCAACAGTGTACTGTACCTTCAAGAAAATCCCAGGCATTATGTGGTGTTGGTGACTAGGTATATTATACGACAAAGCAGCTGGAAGACACTGTGACATCCATCTTACTCGCCGGACCTTGAGCCGAATGATTTTCACCTCTTCCATTCCCTGGACATCTACCTTCATGGGAAATATATCACAAACGAGGAAGATTGTAACACGCATTCCCATAATTCCTTGCGTCCATGACACCTGATTTTTACTGCCAGGTGAATTGCGCTTCTAGATACCGATGGTATTACTTGGAGGATTAACAGTATGTCAAATTGGGTGTATAAATTTTGTTTCTAATAAATTAAAAACGGTACAGTTTCTTTAGTTACCTTATATTTACCGAGTTTGATTCCAACACAAGGAGTGACGAAGTGATATTGTTTAGGATTGTACTTCTCAAGGAAAAGAACCTGTCTGGTGTCTTTTCTATAAAAGTAGGTTTATAAATTGAGCCTTTTACCTGATTGTAAAGTAACTAGTAGCCAGAACGTAAAACGTAGGTCATCAGGAAAATAATTTTTAGCAAGAAATACCATTGCTGATTTTCAGAAAATAGGATTCACATGTAGTATTTGCTGTCAGAATAGAAATGTTTTCTTTTTCTTACTGATTTCAAACATAAACTAATAAAAGGATACTGGTAATCTGATATTCCTCTCATCTTTTTTTTTACCCTAATGATTTATTGACAAACGTGACATGTAGTTTCTATGTCTTCAACAACGACAAATTCAAAAGTGTGCAGGCAAAATGTGACAACTGAACGATTTCCATTGGTTTATAAATCTTTTGTCTTATCTATTCGTATATATATATATATATATATATATATATATATATATATATATATATATATATAATGTGTGTGTGTTTTTGTGTGTGTGTATATGTGTGTGTGTCTGAGCGAGAGAGAGAGATCGTTTGAATTTTATATGTCTGAAATGTGTGCGGGCGCACAAGCCTGTCGAATTTTGCTTTTCCCGCCAATCAATTCTGCTTTTCCCGCCAACCAATTCTGCTTCTCCCGCCAACCAATACTACTTGCAACAGACGAATATTTACTTCGGAGTAACGTGCATAACGAAAAATATGTTATATGACTGCCGCACATGCCACAAAAATGCAGCCGAGAGGTTAGTGCATTCGTTGCTGAGCGGTAGTCTTCCTATTTTACCTTCTTTTATTCATTTACGTTGTGATTAATAACAGCAAATTTGTTTACTCCCGTCGCTGTTTATTTACGTGTCGATATTTCATTCTTGTCTCGCATAATTATCTGTCTTTTTGTTTCGATGTTCACGCGTCTTGACAACTTTTCTTCCTATAAGTATTTTAGTAATTTATGTCCTTTACTCCCACAGACACACCTATTTTCTACGGGGGAAGATAGATAACTAGAAACATGGACATTGAGGATAGAATGGGGTTATTCTTCACAACACCGAACGTTGCAACAAAAATCAAAACATTAGCCTAATAACTCGGGTCATATTTGAAATATACTCGCCCAGAAATATTCAATGTATCATCCTTCTTAGATTAATGTTTCAAGATGGCTTCCATTGAATGAAGTCTGTAGCACTTAGCGAAGATTATACTTCGAGGAAAAGCGCTACATGATCGCGAAATTGTTCTAAATAATAGGCACAGGACAACTTGATAACATCCAACAGCGACGATAGCTAAATTCATATTATATAGATATCATATAGAAAATAACTATTTAATTGACATTTGAAAATACTTCAAACAAAGGAGGGAATCCGCCATCTCTAATAGAGAGAGCGACAAAGATTAATAGGCTGGAAAAACGAATTATATCAACATTTTTTCGTAAATTTCACTTATCTGTCTCTTTTTAGATCTATCTATCTATCTATCTATCTATCTATCTATCTATCTATCTATCTTAGTCTGTTCATATCTATCTTAGTCTTTGCATATCTATCTGCATATTTTCAGATCTATATAACTATGTCAGACTATTCACAATTTTCTATCTATATATCTACGTCTGTTCATATCGATACATCTTTCTTTCTATCTCAGTTGGCTCATTATCAATCCATCTGTGACTTTTAAAGTTGCATATCTATAATAGACTATTCAGAATTATCTATCTAGCTATGTTAGTCAGTTCATATCTATCTATCTATCTATCTATCTATCTATCTATCTATCTATCTATCTATCTATCTATCTCACCCTGATTAGATATTTCTCTTTCTTTATCTTTCTATCTCACCATGTTAATATTATAATTGGACTTAATATGTTAGCCCACACATCCATATGGTCTAATAAATGCTGATAAAATAACATACTTAGAAATTAAATTTGACTTAACCCCATCTACAGCAAATGACATTATTCTTAAGACAAAGAATTATTTAAATGTGGGGTATATATATATATATATATATATATATATATATATATATATATATATATATATATATATATATATATCCTACAAGAAAGGCTGAGATGAGAAACAAGAGAATGAAAAATTTGACAAAAGAAAAACTTTGTTCGGGGAAAGACAGATGATGGCGATTGATACTCCATTTAAACTTTTGGAAATTGAAGTTGAAAGGTTATCAAAAATATGACAGAAAACAGTTATATCGATCTACTTCAAAAATAAAACGCCTAGATTTATTTGCCAATCTAGCACTACGTCTAAATTCACGCGGGTCAAGAAACAAGATCGAAGCATCATTAGAACAATTAACATAAATATATTTACTAAAAGGTTACAAGGAAGCCAGGACACGCCGTTGGCCAAATGGTTGTATTAGAGATGACATGTCAGCACAGATAACATTACATTTAATTTTTCCCAAGATATACAACCGGACCACCGGAGCGGTTTTTGTCGGGAATATTCTATACACGGACGAATGGTAGATTTTAAAAAGTGTAAGATGGATTATGACGTGATAAACCTCCATGTGAGGAGTGTCGGCGAAATTTGTCATCAAGGTCCTGGCTGAGCAGCAAAAGCAACTCCTCGAGGAAATCGCGTGGTTTTCAGATCGAAGATGAGTTAGAAGTCACGCGCTGCCTAGTCAGGAGAGTTGAGTCATTTTGCTTGAAAACGAACCTCCGACAAGCGCACACTACAAGTATGTACTCTAGGTTTAACAGTGGGAACTGACGCAAACTACTGGCGTTAAAAAAAATGAACGCAGGCGCATGCGGAGTGTCACCTCCCTCCAAAACCACTTCGCCTACAGGGCATTAGTTTTGGCGGGAAAAAAAAATGTAGCCGGATTCTTTTTGAATGCACCTTGTATAGTGGTTAAACATCTTAATAAAATTTTAATCTAAATTTTAATTACGCTCACCATATTGATAAACTCTTAAATAATATATCATTAATTAGATTTATAATCATAAGTATAAATTATTTACTTTAGATATTCTTTCTTTTTTTGCACCATCATTTACATTCCTTTATGTTCCTATATGAAATCCCCATATTTTTCTGTGTTTTGACCTTTCCAGGGTATGACGATAAACTACATCCGACAGCAAGGCCTTTGATCAGGAGGTTTTCTTAATTGCTGGTGTCCCCAAACCCAGCCTGAGCTGGCGTGGTAGCACCTGTTACAGTCCCAGCTATGAGCAAATAGTTAAGCCCCAAACTGGGTTCAAAACGGGTGAAAATAGGCTTTATTTACAGCATTACATTTTTGTAAAAAAATTTATTACCAGCAATGAATTTTAGAAGATAAAGCTATTATCAGTAATACATTATTACCGGCAATACTTATTGGGAAAAAATACTACCAGCAATTCAATTTTGAAAAAAAAAAAAAAAAAAAATTAAACACACCAGAAATACACTTTTGGAAAAAAATATTACCAGTAATTCATTTCTGGAAAAACATATAAGCATTACATTTTTGAAAAAAGAAATATTACAGCAATACATACTGAAAAAAATAGTACCAGCATTGAAAATTTTGTCGGCATGAAATAATTCATTAAGGTTGACATGCCGTAAAGCAAACCAAAAAGAAAAAAAACATTCTGATTTATTTCTTCACGGATATTTATTCATAAATTTTATTAAGCGACATTTATTTTCATATTAACCGCAGCCTTTTTAAGTAGCAGTTTTTCCATAGTATCTATTTTCCTGCTTTGATAATGCTCGTATAGAGCGAAACGTTAACAAAGAAATAAAAAAATTAAACATCCAACTGATTTTCATGTATTCGACCTTGCATTTTTTGAGGATATTTCATGGAAATCATATGTTACTCTCTCTCTCTCTCTCTCTCTCTCTCTCTCTCTCTCTCTCTCTCTCTTTTACTATCTATGTAGATTTATACAGAGAGGCAATATATATTTATTAGAAGGTCGTTTGGCTGAGTGGTCAGAACGAACGTTATTGTTTCCGCCATGTTTCTATCTCAGCATGGCCGATTTATCAAGTAAAGCCTTACCATCAGTTAATCCAAGCGTTGTGAAAGTGATGCCGTAGACGAAACTGTTGGAAAGCGCTCGATTTATGTGATACCAAGAAGTCTCAAGGCTTGTTCAACTACTGATCTGGCCAGTTTATGCGCTCCCTCCCAGAAAAGAATGTCCACTCTGTATAGTGGCAGCCTACACAGCTGTGAGTATTGACAGTCAGTTACGCACCCTGCGTGATACATAACTGATAAGGCAGGTTTTTTTCTCGTATTAGACCAGCTATCATCCAAGGCAATAGAACTGCTATTTAGCCATAGCAGTGTACAAATAGGATCCGTACTTTTCCCAAGGGTATTAGCACGTAAGTGAATGTAATGGAATCGACAGGAATTCGAGCTCCGATTGCTCAAGCCGAGCCTCTATCCATTACTCCGCCAAACCTCCTAATGACAACCAACCATTATTATAACTTCAACTCATCAAAACAATTCTAAAATCGACTAACAATAGGCACATATTAAAATCAGACTTACTGTTTTCCTAAAAAGACAGGCTGAAGCTAACAAACAAAAACACTATGAATATTGAAAGGTTTCTCCATAAATGTTATTAATATGTGTGTGTGTGTGTGTGTGTGTGTCGGTGTGCGAGGTTTAAAATTTGTTATATCTTGAAGTTAAGAGTTAATCTTCTTAGCTGACGACAATGTATTTTTCTTTTTTATTACAGTTTTTTTTAAAATCTGTGTATAACCTTTCATACACGCGGATCAAATTTATTGAGGAACTGTCAACATTTCAAAAGATTTTATTCGAATTCTTTGGATCCTATCTAGCCAGAACGGTAATATTATCTCTTACATTAGGCAAAATGGTTTTTATTAGCTTCATTCTGGCGAGTCTTTCAGAAACGCTATAATTCTAATTTAAATGCACGTATAACATATGCAAATTTTTTAGGAGTAGAATGCGTTGTTACTTTATATAAGGAATACATATTTTACATCTAAAAAGAACAATTGTATTTCTTCTGTCTGTAAATTTGACAAGACCAACGAATTAATAAATGTTTTTATATACATTAAAAAAGAATATTCAAAGTATCGTTCCATGAATATGAGTTATATTCTGATTAATATATTCATTCTGATAAAACGCTAAACGTGTTTCTGTACTAAGAAGTGTAAAGAAAAAAATGAAAATATTGTGCAGAGTTCAAATTCTGGTTTCGTTCTCTTCGCGCTAATGATTTTAGGAAATGAATTGTCACTCGCTCTCTGACTTGAGCTATTGTTTCGTATCACACATATGTATAACATAACTAGCAGCATTTATCATGCTTGATTAAAAAATCGCACGACTCATACAGCAATCGCTATCACTTGACTTAAAATATGTTTGCTCTTCCTTGCCTTTGAAGGAATGCCCTTTGCCGTGCTGATGTTGCTACATGCCTTACTTCTTGCCTATCTCACACTGCGAATTTTTTCTAACCTCTATACTAAACATTAAATCTGTAACGAAAAAAGAACTAAACAAAATGAACACCAAACGATCAGTTTTAAAAAAAGACTCGTAACTGGAAAAAACGAATGAAAAAAGAATGTTAACAACAAATACTTTTTCACACCCAACCCAGTTCTGTGGAATCAGAATCAACGTTGAGTTTAAGCAAGCGAATGACCCAATTGGAGTAAAGTGCAATGCAGATTTAAATTTTCCCCACTTGTGACGAATGCAGCTATCGATTTTTTTTTTGCATGCTAGCATGCTAGTTAACATTCGTGTCAGTCAGCTGTTGACTCTCACGCTGGCCAATAGAATCTTCCTGCCTATTCGTGGCAGCCAGCTATAGGCTCTCACTCTGGCCAGTAGAAAATGGCCGCAAACTACATGAAAACTGCCGTAGAAGCATGAAAAAATCGATTATTTCCACTATCGATGGGAGCTGAGAAATGCAAAGTCGGTCTTGGCATTCCCGATAAGTTGGAGCATGTGCATGTATATTTTGGTGCAAATCCGTTGAAAATTGCGGCCGTGCATTCGTTACGCACACACACACATCCTGCCTTTTATAGATAGAGATACCGGGAAAAAAAAGCAAAATTATCCATTTATGTATTTCCACTTTTTGTGTTGTAGTATAAAAGAAAAAAGTAAGAATTACGGCTACACACGGCATGAAAGATGGCATATATTTCAGGATGAACAAGATATCTTTGTGGATAGCTACGTCTATTCCGCTGATAATTGAGATGAAACTGTCATGGCATTTATCTTTGGCACCGACATGAGTGAAACAGAGAAAAAATATGGCTAATATCTATGGGAATATATGAAAGTCGATTTAAATGTTTTCTTTCCCAAAATATATCATTTGTTTTTGGTCATACTGTCGTAAATTTGAAGAATCATGTGTCAAGTAAAAAAGCTAATTTTTAGTCTCTTTCAACTTATTTCTCTTGATTCTTATCGAAACTTCCACGTCGTCGTTCTAGGATCGTTAGTAATGATCATAGATCATAAATAATCATTAAATTTTTACTACGATTTCGTTCACCTGATTTCTCTGCTATTTATCGCATCTCCCAGGTCTTCATTCTGCCACTGTTAATAAATATCACACATCAGAAAGAGTTATAAAAATTTTAATAGTATTTCCTTCATCGGATATCTCTGTCTATTTATCGTAACTCCCACGTCGTTATTCTACGACCGTTAGTAAATATCAGAGATGAGAAATGACTATTAACATTTTTCTAGTATTTCGTTCATCTGATTTCTCATATTTTTTTTTTATCGCAACTTCCAGGTCGTCATTCTACGATCGTTAGTAAATATCATAGATCGGAAATAATTATAAAAGTTTTACTAGTATTCCGTTCATCTGATTTCCCTTGTTTTTCATCGCATCCCTCAGGTCGTCAATCTACGTTCGTTATAATAGAATTGAAAGAATTATTAAGATTTTACTTGTAGTGATTTTCCAAGCGTAGCTTAGATGTGGCACAAGGCCAAAAGTATGGGGCACCCAGTGAGAATCTAACTCACTATTCAGTTGTAACTGTTTTAGCGTGACAAGCTTGCAAACCATTACAATACGCCGAGGTGCCCAAAGACTTTACTTGTATTTCAATATCATTCCTCTTATATGACAGTGAATAATATACTGTCTTGTTCCAGATGGAAGGAAGCTAGCAGCAACATAAATCTTGATATACAGAAGGATACTGAGATTATGGAGGAAGGTGTACCTAAGGAACGAAGAAGTTTTTTTTTAGAAAGAAGTTTTTGGAGAATTTGACATACAGAGGACATCTCGCAGGATAAACAGACAGGGAAAGGCAGCGGTTCACCTAGCTTATGAGCTTGTCTAAATGAATGGCAGAACTATGGATGTGAGTCTTCGCAAATTTACATATGTTGCTGCAAGCTAGACATGATAGGAGGTTGTTGAGAGCGGTGTTCGCCCCCTTAGAGACAAGAAACATAGAATAATTATTTTTCATTCAGGTTTGGTGTAAAGATACAAAATCAGGAACTCTTTGAGATTAGAATACACCACTGAAGAATTTGACAAAAAAAAAGACATATTGTAGGATAAACGGACTGGGCAAGGTTAGCAGCCCAATTATCTGATTAGTTTGTCGAAATGGATTGCAGAACTGTGGATGTGAGCCTTTGCAAAGACACAAGTGGTGCTGCAATTTACATATGATAGGAGGTTGTTGAGAGCTGTGATCGCCTCGCAGAGATACGAAACATAGAAGGATTAATTCCGATTTGGTGTAAAGTCAATAGTTCAGGAATACTTTGGTATTAGAATACACAGAATAATGACTCGGGGAAAATAGCTTGCAAACCACCATTTCACTATGGTGCCTACAGAATGCAAATATGATTTGTGCTTTTACTGAAAAGAAGAAAAAATAAATACGCGACTTGTCTATATTTATAAATTATTGATTTATTGTAAAAATTTCATGTCATTTACAACCCTGTCTTTATTGAATGCACCAAAAGTAATTGCATTATACAAAGTTGCTGGCAAGTTATAAGTTCTAATTATTTTTTTCGATTTTCTTTCGTTTTTGTTGCTGCCATATTTGTTATTTTTTTTTTAATTCTTTACTAAGCCATATTGAACGCGGATGGAGTTTAAATTAACTGAAAGAATATAAAATATGTTTAAAGTCACGGGATGGTCTTACAAATCTCCAGTTGATGCATCTTTATAGCATCTGATATAATCACGCACTGATGTGAGGATTTAGGCTGGAATAGGTTTTTATTACATGTTTTTGACCAGAGTAATAACATGGGCTTCGTACAAGTTATATTTCTCAGATTTATTTGACGTAACTGCGTCATTCTTTATTGTGTTTTAGTTAATAGATTCAATATCTTTCCCGTCTAGGATATGTATCTTCGTTAATAATTCCGAAGCTTGATAATGAAAAATGCATTATGATTACACATTAAAATAGCTATGTTATAACATAAGCTTTTATTCTTCTTTTTTTTTAAAATCTTTGTCAATACACTTAAACCACCGCCTCTGTGTTAATCAAATAGACCGAATAATATACAGCTAACATTTCAGACCAAAATTCAGCGAACGTATTTGATATAGGTGATTCCTCAAGGACACATGGACCAGTGGATAAAAACGTTGGTTGGATCTAGTGATTTGACCGAAAGAGGTGTGGGTTTAATACCAGCCTACTGCAGTGGTGAACAAAAACTTGGAGATTTGAATTAAAGCTGAGGCATCCGGTAGAGGCATGACACGTGGAACTAGAACACTCTACCCCAGTGGACGACATAAAGGGTTCAGTTCGAAATTGCAATCACCTGAAAAAGGTCGGAGCGTACAGCGTCTGAAACGTCGTGAATATGACAAC